CCTGATCAGATGTGACGAAAGCTGTACAATATATATAACAATACAGAATCACTTTTGAATTTTGCAGTGAAGATAAATATAAAGTAAATCCATGACTTGTATTTACAAATGAGAAGTGTGCTGTTTTGAAAAGGTTTATAAAGAAAGCACTTTAGCTTGAGCGCTGTTTCTACCACTTACTGCTTGTGTGACTTTTAGTGAAGTTGTCCCAATGTTTTAGAGCTTTACTGTCTCCTTTAGTAAAAGGCGGATGACATAGATTCGTAATTCTCACATGTTACGGTGGTGTGTGTGTGTGTGTGTGTGTGTGTGTGTGTGTGTGCATGCGCATGGGCATGCATGTGCACACACAGGCCTTTCGATGTGGTTGTCAAAATTAAGATTGGAAATCTTATAGCATGGTACAGCTTTGTCCCATAATATATAAAAATAGTCTTTATTTTAGGGTAATTTTCTTATCATCTGAAAAGGCTGATGGTGGTTTGACCAATTTCTCTCCAACCTCCCATTCAGTTTACTTGTCAGGCATTTCCTACCTGTGCTTTAAACTGGGGAGACATTAAGCTTTATGTGCCTTTCTATTGTCTTCCACTTCCTTCTGTCTCTCTCTACTCTTATGGACTAAGGAGTCTTTTGGAATAAAGGAATGAGGAAACGTGCCCGTGGCTATGAGGGAAATCTAATATTTATTTCATACTGTAACTTTATTTGGTGAGGAATACAGAAATAGGCTTAGTGATCACTTTCTTTCTCCCTCTGAGCATAACTGTGTATAAATATTGATTTTTTTTTTCCTCATCCTCTAGTTACAGCAATTGGAGCTTGCACAGATACAGCACAGAGATGCTAATCTCACGGCTCTTGCAGCTATTGGACCAAGGAAGAAGAGACCACTAGAATCTGGAAGTGAGGTATTGAAATAATGTTACCTTTTTTTCATGTCAAGAAAGCAAGCCAAAAAAGAAGCAAAGATCTGAAAATAGTTTACCATACTCTGCATGCTTTTACTGCCAGACTCTTCTTCTTTGCCAGTTTTACAAAAATCTGAAGTTTTACCAGGTTTTAAAGATGTATATCTCCTTGAACCTTATTCTCCCTTTTATTTATTTCATACCTTCCCCTCCCGTCTTTAGTCATCCTAAGTCTCACTGTTTCGATTTTTTATTTCTGTGTAATCTTTCTAGCAGTTTTATGTAGTCTTCTCTTCCGTGTTTATCTAAATCAGGCTTATCTGTTAGAACTGAGTGTGGCCTCCTACTTCTTCCATGAACCTTGACTGTTCAGCCCCACACCATCACCTCCTTTGCTAAGCACATAATGTTTGCATGGCATTAATTGTTCTCTGACTGTTCCTTGTGTGAATATCTTTTCTTCTGTTATATTATAAACTTCTTAAAGAAGAGCTGTCATTCTATTCCTATGTAGTCTCCATAAACCGGGAACGGGGGACATACATACTCAGTAAATATTGTTCATTGTTCAACACTAAGGAAGGATCTTGTTTACGTCCTTGGAGTAATTATTTGAGACGGTTGGGACCAGCAGTTGGCTGGACTCTGTGTAATCGACCGTGGTTTGAGTCTAGGACCCAGTGGCTTAAACTCATGCCGGGTACGTGTGCATGTGTGCCCAAGATACTGAGAGGAGAATGGAGGAGAAGGGATTGCGGCATGGCCATCCCTGCTGGGGCGTAATTTCTCACTTTCTGTCTTTCTCTTTCTGGCAAGCGCACATACCCTAGGGCAAAAACCTCGCCCCCTCCCTCCCCCCCCAAAAAAAAAAGATTTGAGATGGTATTAGGCTTTGAAAGCGATTGTCAGTGCTGAGACAGAGCCTGGGGATGGGTCCAACAGTGAAAAGTGCTCTGGCTCATCCATCTGCTCTGTAGGTTGTCAGTGTGCCTTGAGGCCATTCCCTCATGACATAGACCCTCAACATGGATAATTCCTAAATAAATCCTCCTCGCCTTAACAGATTGAAGATTTAAGAATTCTAGTTCCTTTTGTGTTTTAAATGTAACGAACATAATATGCTCTCTATCCCCTGCCCAACCTGATGTAACCACTGTTATGTTCTCACATACCCTTCCAGAAATTGTGCTGAATATGGGTACACAACCGATGTGCATTCGCAAATCTACATGTTTACTTTCGTTTTTATGTAAATGTTATCAACGTATACCTATTATTCTGCCCTTGATACCCTGATATTTCTCCCTTCTGTCGTCTACCTTGTATAATTTACTGCCTTACTTTTAAATGGTATGTCATTACTGCAGTTACTACATTTAGATAAGCTGTAATTTATTCAGCCTGTCTCCTAATGAACAAGCAGGTAGTTTCCAGGTTTTTGTTTTTGTTTTGTTGTTTTGTTTTTGGCTATTGAGCACATGCACTTGCTGGGAAGAGACACACAGAGGTATGGAAAGGTATGGCCATGCTGCCGTCTCTTCTCCTCCATTCTCCTCTTGAGATTTTGTGTATGCACACACACATGCCTGGAGTGTTTTTCTAGCCACTGGGTCCAGGACTCAAATTGCACAGTTGGCCATGTGGGATTCAGCAGCCTCAACCACCATGTCACCTGCTAGCCCCAGGCTTTTGCTGCATTTTGCAATGAGAATATCCTTGTACTTATATCATTGTATGTCTGTACAATGTAACTATAGCTAAAATTCCTACAAATGGAATTTCTATATTAAAGGATATGCACATTTGGAAAAACTTAAACATATACAAAGGTAGGGAATGGTCACACTGCAATCCTTTTCCTTCATTCTCCCTTTTTTGGGGATTCGAATTATTTATTTATTTATATTTATTATTATTGTTATTGTTTAACTCACACGAGAGAGAGAGAAAGAGAGGGGAAGTAAGAAAGCAAGCTGCCAGGTCTAAGACTTGAACCATGGTTGGCCATGTGGGAGTCTGGCACCTTCCCTACCATGCCACCTGTAGGCCTTCATTCATCATGTGTTTTCTTTTCTTTCTTTCTTTTTTTTTTAAGAGAGACTTTTGCTAATGGGGCACGTGTACACACCAGAGACACAAAGAGAGAGAAAGCATTTCTGATGAGGATGGCCGTGCCACAATTCCTTCTCCATTCTCTTCTCAGGATTTTGGGCACACACGTGCTCACTCCTGCCTGGGATGAGTTCCAAGTTGCTGCATCCAGGACTCAAACCACAGTTGGCCATGTGGGAGTCCAGCACCTTAATCAGTATGTCGCCTACTGGCCCCACCCATTATGTTTTTTAAGCTGTCAGGTTCAGGACTTAAGCTGCATCATAAGCCATGTAGGATGTAGCCCTTTTACCACCAGACTATGGACTGGTATGAAAATCATCTTGTCATTCTTACAAAAATGCTTAGTTTTTGTTTGTTTGTTTGTTTGTTTTTAATTAGATTGGCATTGAATCTATAGATCAGTTTGCAGAGAATTGACTTAACAATTTTGATACTTACAATCCATGAATATCATGTATCTTTCCATTCAATTCTGTCACCTTTAATTTTTCTGTAGTGTTTTAGTTTTCTACGTACAACTCCTCATCTTTTATTATATTTATGCATAGATATACTTGACACTACTGAAAATGGTATTTTTTTAATTACATTTTTTGGTTATTTGTCACTAGTATTGGGTCATCAGAAAAGTCATGATTTATTTTTCTTTCTTTTTTTTGGAGAGGTTTTTTGCTAGGGGGCGCGTGCGCTCGCCAGAAAGACAGAGACAGAGAGACAGAAAGCGAGAAATCACCCCCCAGGAGGGATAGTCATGCTGCAATCCCTTCTCCTCCATTCTCCTCTCGGGATCCTGGGCATGCATGCACACGTGCCCGGCGTGAGTTTAAGCCACCAGATCTGAGACTCGAATCACGGTCGGCTACATGGGAGTTCAGTGACATAGCCATTCTGCTAACTGCTGGTCCCCATGATTTACTTTTCTATGCCAAAATGCTTCCCAACTTTTCTGACAATCCATTATGTCAAAGTAAAGTTGATTTTTATATGGATTCTTGTATCCTCCAGCCTTCTAAATTCACTTACTTGTTCTGGTGTGTTCTTTGTGTAAATTGTATAGGGTTTGCTAAACAGTCATGTTGTTTCTAATGAAAATAAGAATACTTCCTTTCAGTCTTCCTGCTTTTTATTTCTTTTTCCTGCCTTAGAGAACTAGCTAGCATCTTCACTACTATGTTGTCTGAAGTGATGAAAGCAGACATCTTAACCCTATTCCTGATAATAGAGGGAAACATTCACTATTTCACTCCTAATATGATATTAAGCCACAATGTGCAGTAATAATGCAACACTCTGCAATACTGAGGCCACATGGGAAGGTCATGAGTCTCCTCATGAGGCCTCTTGTAAACACTAGGCATGTATCTACCCGTGATCCTGACTGGCTGAGGTTGGGAGTGGACCATAGTGTGAAGAACATGTCAGGGATGTCCCAGTCCAACCCCTCTTT